TATTTTTAAGTTTGACGGTACATGTGTTACATACAATGTGTACCATTGCCAGAATCGATTTTCTAAGAGGTGTGTGTGTATGTGTTTGCAATTATTGTTTGCGGCTTTTTTACTTCCTTATTTTTAAATTTTTTTAAGGGGGGGCAAAAAAATATGGTGAAACAAATCTACAAAACAACTTATTTTCTAGATTAAATTTTTAAAAACAAATTAAATTTACATACCATGTCCTTGTACTCAGTTTCCGACTTTTTAAATTGCTTTATCGATTTGGTAAATTTCGGTAGGGACTCCGTTGTGTCAGCAAAGCGGCACCGATGGGAATTGTGTTACACAACGGTACCTCCGTCCTTACTAAACGTGCCTCTGTGAGAACTGTACATACTTTCAAGTAGAAGTCTCCAGGCTCGGATGCAACTTGTTATCTCATAAGGGCAATTTAATCTTCCTATAAATTGAACTGTAAGTAACATGAGCTTCAGACTTTACATTTAAACTAAATAGTAATATAAGGCTACCATTTACTTATAAGCGGCCCACCCGCATAACTCTCGCATGCAGATTCTCGTCTGGCTCTTGTTCAGTCAAGGAAAGTTTCCAAGCGTCTGTGCTTTCATCGACACATGTTGATCCTAATACTGTTTACATACTTTACATATATTCGTATAAGAAAATGGGTGAGCTTTTCAGCCTCATACATTTCACTGTTTTTTTTAACTCGAATGTCTTTATAAAAATCCGTTAAAAAAAGCCTTTCAAAGTTTTTTATTGCCATTTTTATGCACTTTGATTTAAAATAAGACCAGTTAAAATATACTGAAAGAAACATACATTTATGTACTTTTTCGTGGATTTAACTACATTACTATCGATTCGATGTGACTGAAGCACTGGGGTTTTGAAAACGCAAGGGTCGGTCCGCGATTTTGCACCCGAAAATGCTGAAAAGCTGATTTGGTGCCCAACTTTAACCCCCAGTAATTCATACTTATTTTTCATTTGTTCTTTTTCATCCCTTTTACTCAAGAAAAGATTACCCCCAGTGGGTCGGGGGGATATAAATAGACCCACTGCTTCATCTGCAGAAGGTGCAACCCCCTCAAAGGTGGAGTGT